TCTGTCTGTTTATCTATCTTTGAAAGTCAACCTGTATAGCTTTATCTGTATTTATCTGTCTATCTTTATCTCTCTCCCCCTGTATCGATCTAGCTTCTAAGTCCCATATGCCTCCCGAAACGGCAAAATATATATGAACAGTCAACGACAACACGAATGGGAGGCAATAAACAACACATAAAATGGATGGCAATAACAATTAGAAGCATGGATGACAATAAATGATGTTGAATTGATTAAATAAAAAATAAAATATAAAAATGAAAGAAACGAACTCAACCTAGGACTTTTACTCTCTCCCTCGCAGCGGTAACTCATATAAAATCATTGATATTGCTAATATTTTCCAAAACTGTTTTGCAAGGAGTATGGAGCGCGCAGGTAGGCCTTTGCAACATGATAGGCAACATGGCGGATGATGAATGAAAGGACATATCATTTGACCTTTGAAGAATGATATACTCAATTATGCTGATTTTACAGCTAAAATCAAGATCAGATCAGTCCATTTAAAAACTACTGGAACATAGTTTGTGTAAAAATAATATACCTTGATGCACTTGTAAAATTAAACAAAACTCCTGCTGGCGGGTAGAAAAAAAACATATATATTTATATATATATATATATTATATTAATACGAGAGAGATGAGAGAGATAGAGAGAGAGAGAGAGAGAGAGAGAGGAGAGAGAGGAGAGGAGAGAGGAGAGAGAGGGAAGGAGGAGAGCGAGAGAGAGAGAGAGAGAGAGTTAGCAGGGATTCGATATACAAAAGGAGCAAGGTTTTAATTTTCTGAGATAACGAAGGGGAAACGAGCTGTGATTATGACTTTTGTATAAGATATTCTTGATTTTTCTTAGATATTTCTCGTTCTTTTCATTCATATTCTGTTTCAGATCTTCAGTCCTTCTTCCGGGCTCTCCTTTGAATTGACCAAAAGAACAAACGAGAGGGATATAATAACGGAAAGAACATTCACACAATGACGAATTACTATAAGAACCATCAATAATAACAACAGCATTCAAATTACAGCAGATCCGAATCACTTTTCGACGCCGAAGGACGGAAAAATACTCCTACTTCCTGTCATTCGATAAGTCATAGATACAAAATACCCTCTGGAATTGCCACGCGCATCCGGTCCCGATGAAGAGAACGAAAAGCAGAATGTCGAGGAGACGAGTGAGCTAAGCAGCAGGTGGTGAATCAGCCTGTCGATTCATCTTCCCGACGCGTGATGAGGTCTCATACATCGCCCAATCATGGACGTCCATTATATTGACACTCGTGCTAAAAGTCCGGAAGAAATATTGATCATAATTACTCTGGGACGGGCTCTTCCCTCCCCCCCCCTCTCCCTTCTCCTACCCCCTTCCCCTTCTTCCCTACCCCTCTCATCCCTCCCCCTCAGGCTCTCCCCTATCTGTTGTCCCACGCTCTCGTATCTCCCTCCCCCTCTCCCTCTCACCTCCTCACTCCTCCCCTCTCCACTCCTCCTCCCTCTCCCTCTCCCTGATCCCCCTCTCCCTCTGCCTCCTGCCTCGCCCTCTCCCCTCTGCCTCCACCTCTCCCTCTGCCTCTATTTGTCCTTTCGTCGCTCCTAATCCCTCGATATTGGGGAGATACACCGCTCCTCCTTCTTGATTGTCCTGTTCTGGGTGTAAGAGTCAGGGTGTATGTAAGAGTTATCTTGCTTGATCTGTCTGTCTCTCTCTTTATGGGCTAAAGAAACTATTTGGAGAGGCTTTAAGCTTGTGGTTGGTTGTGCTCTTTTTTCTTTTCTTTTTTACCTCATTTGTCGTCTCTTTTCTAGAATATATATACAATATATATATACATATATAATATATATATATATATATATATATATATATATATATATATATATATATATATAATTATATATTTTAGAAGAGCGAGGTATTGGTGCGATAGCGTGGGCAGCCCCACACCACGTGGTGGAGGTATTGCACCTTTATACTCTCTCTCTCTCTCTCTCTCTCTTCTCTCTCTCTCTCCTCGTTATTCTCTCTCTTGACTCTCTCTTCTCTCTCTACTCTCTCTCTCTCTCTCTCTTCTCTCTCTCTCTCTCTCTCTCTCTCTCTCTTTCTCTCTCTCTCTCTCTCTCTCTTTCTCTCTCTTCTCTCTCTCTCCTTATCTATCTCTATCTATCTATCTATCTATCTATCTATCTATTTATCTATTTATCTATCTATCTATCTATCTATCGTCCTCTTAAATTATATCTATCTATCGTCCTTCTATATACTTATCTATCTATCTGTCCTATCTATTCCCTCTCGCTTTCTCTCTTTTCATTTTCTCTTCTCGTTCCTCTTAGCTTCCCCCTTCGTTTCCTTTTGTCTCTTTTCATCCTTACGTTTCCCCCTTTCGCTGGCATTCGCTGAGGGAAAAAAAACCATCATTTCTAACCCCAAATAGCAACGGGAAATCAATATCTATTTTTCGAGACCTTTTATCCTTTCGTTAGAAGCAAGAGACATGTGGAAGGTGATAGACATGTTAAACGTTTCAGAAAGTCTTCGACAGCTTATATAGATATGTAGTTAAGAGGAGGAGAGAGAGGGAGAGAGAGGAGGAGAGGGAGGGAGAGAGGAGGAGGGAGGGAGGAGGAGGGAGGTAGAGTAGAGGAGAGAGGCGAGAGAGGAGAGAGAGGAGAGGGAGAGAGAGAGAGAGAGAGAGAGAGAGAGAGAGAGAGAGAAGAGAGGAGAGAGAGAGAGAGAGAAGAGAGAGAAGAGAGAGAGCAGGAGAGAGAGAGAGGAGAGAGAGAGAAAATAGAAAGTCGTCATCTGTTGTCGATTTTTTCTTTTTCTTCTTCTTTGCAATGGCACTGACTTCCCCTTCTCAAGACAGTGAAAAAAATAACAAGAAGGAAAACTATATGGAAATCGTTTACGTTTAGCATTTAATATCAAAGAATTACATCATTGTTATTTCTGCACGTAACGCCTATGTTGCGTATTATTTGCATCCATTCCTAGTAGAATTGCAACATCTGTTTATCCAAATACATTCCATTGATATCGTGTTTTCTGTGTAATTATTCCTAGGAAAGATGCGCCATATGTTTATAGAGTCGAAATAGTTCCTTCTGTTACTATCACTATGTTAGAATAAGATTAATAGAATAATAATAGAATAAAGAGGTGCTTCTCAGATCACACAGAAAAGGGTAATTTGTATTGAATCATAATTGAATTGAATAGTATTTGAATCTCATTTAACCATCATTAACTGTGAAACTACCGCTTACACGACCCTGGACAGGAAAATATTCATAACCCGTATTCAATCCGTATTTTTTTTCCTTTGATAAGAAAATATTCATAACCCTTTTTCCCTGGACAGGAAATTTCATAACCCGTATTCAAACGTATTTTTTTAGACCCTTAACAGAAAATCTTCATAACCCGTATTTCAACCCGTATTTTTCCCTTGACAGGAAATCTCATAACCCGTATTAACCCGTATTTTTCCCTTAGAAAATCTTCATAACCCGTATTCAAACCCGTATTTTCCCCTTGACAAGAAAATCTTCATAACCCGTATTAAACCCGTATTTTTCCCTTGAAAATCTTTCATAACCCGTATTCAACCCGTATTTTTCCCTTGACAAGAAAATCTTCATAACCCGTATTCAACCCGTATTTTCCCTTGACAAGAAAATCTTCATAACCCGTATTCACCCGTATTTTCCCCTGACAAAAAATCTTCATAACCCGTATTCAACCCGTATTTTTCCCTTGACAGAAAAATCTTCATAACCCGTATTCAACCCGTATTTTTCCCTTGACAAGAAAATCTTCATAACCCGTATTCAACCCGTATTTTTTCCCTGACAGAAAATCTTCATAAACCCGTATTCAACCCGTATTTTTCCCCTGGACAGAAAAATCTTCATAACCCGTATTCAACCCGTATTTTCCCTTGATAAAAAAATCTTCATAACCCGTATTCAACCCGTATTTTTTCCGAAAACATTCATAACCCGTTTTTTCCCTGGACAGAAAATTTTCATAACCCGTATTCAACCCGTATTTTTCCCTTGACAGAAAAATCTTCATAACCCGTATTCAACCCGTTTTTCCCTTGACAGAAATCTTCATAACCCGTATTCAACCCGTATTTTTCCCTTGAAGAAAATCTTCATAACCCGTATTCAACCCGTACCTTGATAACCCACCCGTATTTTTCCCTTGACAAAAATCTTCAACCCGTATTCAACCCGTATTTTTCCCTTGACAAGAAAATCTTCATAACCCGTATTCAACCCGTATTTTTCCCTTGACAAGAAAATCTTCATAACCCGTATTCAACCCGTATTTTTCCCCTGACAGAAAAAATCTTCATAACCCGTATTCAACCCGTATTTTTCCCTTGACAAGAAAATCTTTCATAACCCGTATTCAACCCGTATTTTTCCCTTGACAAGAAAATCTTCATAACCCGTATTCAACCCGTATTTTTCCCCTGACAGAAAAATCTTCATAACCCGTATTCAACCCGTATTTTTCCCTTGACAAGAAAATCTTCATAACCCGTATTCAACCCGTATTTTTCCCTTGACAGAAAAATCTTCATAACCCGTATTCAACCCGTATTTTTCCCTTGACAAGAAAATCTTCATAACCCGTATTCAACCCGTTTTTCCCTTGACAAGAAAATCTTCATAACCCGTATTCAACCCGTATTTTTCCCTTGACAAAAATCTTCATAACCCGTATTCAACCCGTATTTTTCCCTGACAAGAAAATCTTCATAACCCGTATTCAACCCGTATTTTTCCCTTGACAAGAATATTCAACCCGTATTTTTCCCTTAATCTTTCATAACCCGTATTCAACCCGTATTTTTCCCTTGACAAGAAAATCTTCATAACCCGTATTCAACCGTATTTTCCCTTGACAAGAAAACATAACCGTATTCAATCCGTATTTTTTTCCTCATAACCCGTAGGACAGAAATTTTCATAACCCGTATTCAACCCGTATTTTTCCCTTGACAAGAAAATCTTCATAACCCGTATTCAACCCGTATTTTCCCTTGACAAGAAAATCTTCATAACCCGTATTCAACCCGTATTTTCCCTTGACAAGAAAATCTTCATAAACCCGTATTCAACCCGTATTTTCCCTTGACAAGAAAATCTTCATAACCCGTATTCAACCCGTATTTTTTTTCCTTTGATAAGAAAATATTCATAAACCCGTATTTTCCCGACAAAATTTCATAACCCGTATTCAACCCGTATTTTCCCTTGACAAGAAAATCTTCATAACCCGTATTCAACCCGTATTTTTCCCTTGACAAGAAAATCTTCATAACCCGTATTCAACCCGTATTTTCCCTTGACAAGAAAATCTTCATAACCCGTATTCAATCTGTATTTTTTTTCCTTTGATAAGAAAATATTCATAACCCGTATTTTTTCCCTGGACAGGAAAATCTTCATAACCTGTTCAAATTTCCCTTTCTTCAACCCGTATTCAACCCGTATTTTCCCTT